TATGGAAAGCAAGTCCACTGTCAGAGCGCCTGAGAAACCAACCCCATTGCCCCTCTGCACCTGACCAGCAGCCATTCCATCATGCTGCAAAACTCTGTGACATGCAGAGTATGTGTCCACGTTTCCTTGTTTTCCTTCCTCCTCTCCATCCCCTTTACTTTTTGCATTGTCTCTTTTTTTAGACTGTATGCTTGAGGACAGGTATTGTCTTATCTTGTCCTTTTTAAATAAAAGGTATATGTTTGCTTCAAGGCAAGAGCCTTTCTAGCCATGGACAGGAGTATAAAATACTACACATAAATAAATAAATATGCACATCGTCATCAACAACAACAACAAGAACAAGAACAAGAACAACAACACAATTCTGACTTACAGTGATCCTTTTTCAGAGTTGTCCAGGTAGACAGTACGGGGTGCCTGGGACTGTGCAGCTTGCCCAAAATTCTGACTTATAGTGATCCTTTTTCAGAGTGGTCCAGGTAGACAGTACGGGGTGCCCGGGGACTGTCAGCTTGCCCAAGGCTACACAGGCTGGCTCTTCTCCCAGGAGGTACAGTAGGGAATCGAACTCCCAACTTCTGGTTTCATCTCCAGATATCTAACTCACTGAGCTATCTAGCCAGCATAAACCATAGAGATAGGGGTTTAGTTCAAGAGTGGATTAAATTTTTCTCTACTGTCCCAGGTTTTTTTTTTTTTTTTTTTTGCCTTGCTAGCTGTTACTAGCAAATCCTCTGTTTGAAACCAACAAACAGTGTCCAAAATATTTCATCTCATGTAATCTCAGCCTTTCTAAGGCAAAATTAGGAATTAACATTTAATTCTTTTATTTTGGGCTACAACTCTCAAAATTCCTTGTCATGCTGACTGGGCAGATTTTGGGAACTGTAGCCCAAAAACAACAAAGTGTCAGCACCTTAGAGATACATTGGACATACTCTTTTGTTGACTGGAGCACACTAAATTCATTGGTCTGGAGTCCTCAAGAGCTTATGCCAAATAAAATTTGCTCTTGTTTAACTACAACGATTCTCTGTATTTTTTGCTGTAATAGACTAACATAGCTGCCCCAGCTATCTGACAAGTAATCTGAAAAGTAAATTTTTCAGGCACTGATCTGGAGCAATAGTGGCATGAAAAAGAGCTACACGGTGACATTTTTAACATAGCCAAAATTAAATAAAATGTGGTTTGGGATTACACTACCTGTTGGTATGTCTCTCCCCAATGTCATCTTCCTGACCCACCAGATCCTCCCAGGCTAAGCTCTTCTGGTTAGCCACTCTGAAGGAAGTCCGGAACTCTTCCACAAGAGCTTGGGCCTTCTTTGCAGTGGCTCTGATGTTGTGGAACCAGTTCCTAGTAGAGCTGCACCTGGCCCCCTCCCTGTTAACGTTCAGAAGGCAACTTAAGACATTGTTTTTAAAAAGAGGCTTTCCATGCTGACCCTGTTTGATTCTATGTCTCCTGTCCTGCTGTCACAGCGAATTGCCTTGGTGCTACTTGCTCTTATTTTACTAATGCTTTAATTTTACTGTATACTTATAGTTTATTAGTATATATTTTATTTATCGTTGTAAACCACCCAGAATAGTGCATTGCACTAATGGGATGGGGTATAAATCAAATGATTAAATATACAAACCTTCCTCTATTATTAGACTCGAGAAGGATGAACACAATTTGCAATGTCTCTCATGCCAGTAGGATGAAGCTTGAGAAGCCCTTTGTGTTACACCAGGAGTTAAAACTTAGGGGCAGGGTTAAGCAGGGGAAAGGGAGCTGTGCAGCAGAATACCCAAGCTAGAATCTGGGACAAAGATCAGCAAAAGTAAACTCTGATCCTCCCTCTGCTCAACTGGCCACGTAACAGAAAGGTGCGTTCACACTTGCAAACCAGTAGTATATCCCAGTGTTTTTCTGTCTTTTCCCTAATTGAAGCTGAAAACATTCGGAGACCCTGGGAAAACACAATATGCTACTGTAATTATGATAGTTTCAGCAACTGTGGTAACATAAAGTTTCAGAACAGCTGACATTCCAGTCTGTCTTGTAATACAACTATTTCTTTCTGCCTTTAAACCACATGTGATACTTTCATAAACATCTTAACTAAACCCTCTGCTCCTTCGCTTGCTCACCCTTGGTTGCAAAGCATACCTGGAAACCAAAAAAAATATTAAGGACTATTAAGTATATTAAGACACAAAAATGATCAGCTCCACCTGGTAACAACAAAGGTACAATGATGTAACAAAAGCCTGGAGAGAACAGAATGTGTGTTGCAGTCCGTTACTCTTGGGCACGAAACTTGTATAATGCTGGCCTCTGTACTAAGGACCGGCTTTCAGAATAGCATGTCTTTCATCTTTCTTCTTCATAACGATCTTCCTCCTACTAGACATCATTAGCAATCCTTATTGTATCACATGGGCAGAAGTTTATCTTTAACCATAACACTGTTAATGACATGTTAGATGGTGTTGCTAAATTTCTTTCAAATTATTCTTCACTCCACTCCCAGGCCTGACAAAAATGTAGGAGTTTTCACACATAAGGTTATTTCTGGAACATGAAGACATTGCCCCGGAGTGCACGGTGCTCAGAAACAGCATCATTCTCCAAAGTAATGTGTGAGATAGAGAAGAACAGGGAAATCTATCTGAAGTAGGAGGCTTGAACATCTGAGATGCAAACGAAGAATGCTACTGCAGGTGCTGTCCCTGGTGCTGATCTCTAGCGTCTTGGTAGAGGCATCATGTTGCAAAGCCTAGTAGTGATTCATTGCACTGACATCCCTAAAAAACAAACAAAAAGCCATCTTAACAGCAATATCAATGAATAGGAAACATTCTGATAAATACTATGGGGCATTTCTGAGACTATTTCACAATTGGGTTTGTGGACTGTAACCAGTTTTTAAGACTAATCCCCCAAATAAGAGTCTCACAATTGGCTAAAAGGTTATAAGCATAAATAATCCACGTCATCATGTCTTTTCCCTCATTCATGATCTAGAACAGTGATGGTGAACCTTTTTGGGCTCACATGCCCAAACTGAAAAAAATAAAAAAAATAAAACAGGGAGTGGTGCGCCGCCACTGCTGCAGAACCAGAAGTGGCAGCAGAAGGGGGACTCCCGGGCATGGAGGTGCCTCGAGATGCCACTCCAGATCCACCACCAGCATCAGCTGCTCCAGATCCTGACCCTCCACCTGTCCAGGCACCAGCACCGCAGTTGCAGCCACCTGCTCAGGTTTGGCTGTGGGGGGGAGTGGGGAGTAGTGATCTGGCAACTTATGGCTTGCGTGCCAGCAGAAAGGACTCTGCATGCCAGCTGTGGCACGCATGCCATAGGTTTGCCATCACTGATCTAGAACCTAGTCTTATGAAATGGAACATTTTTTTTCAAAGTTTGATTTAAATAAAATTGGAATTAAACAGACTTTATAAACTTTATGGGAGTGGAGGGAGAGAAGACATTATTAGACTAGTAAATATTAGAACATACACAATTTAAAAGAATATAGTTCTTAAGATTCCACACCCCAAAGCCAATATATCACAGGCAATTAATATATAGGATCACCCTGTTTATTCCATATTAATTAATTTAGAATAACCATCACTCCTTGGTTCTGAACTCTTTCTACACTCTGAGTATTACTATTATACCAAAGACAAAGGAGATTTTAAGAAGTCATTGATCTGTGATACTGAGTATGTTTTCTGTAGCTAGACACAAGTGATGAAATGAGAAAAACCATCTGCAGCTATCATTCCCCCACTTACTCTATGAAACATGTATTAAAGGGGCACCATGAGTGACATGCTTAGTACAGGTTTTACCACTTTGGAATTCATATAAACTCCTCTAATTGGTGATCCTTTATAACAGGGGTGGACAAGTTTTATCCCTCAAGATATTGACAGATTACAACTCCCATGTGTTCTAGACCACTGGTTCTTAACCTTGGGTTACTCAGGAGTTTTGGACTGCAACTCCCAGAAGCCTTCACCACCAGCTGTCCTGACTGGGGTTTCTGGGAGTTGCAGTTCAAAAGCATCCTAGTAACAAAGGTTAAGAACCACTGTTCTAGACAACAGAGCCAATAGCAAACAGTGATCAGAGATGCAGTCCAAAATCCAGCCATGTTGCCCTCCCCAGCTGGTGATAAAGTACCTTCCTATAATGCAGTGCACTGTGAAAAATCATTATAGAAAGCAGTGAAAGAACATTGGAGGTGTGTGTGTGTGTGTTTGTGTAGAAATATGACAGTCCTATACATATTCACTTAGAAGTAACCCCACTTAACTGAATGGAACTTACTCCCCAAGTAAGTGTCTATAAAATTATAGCCCAAATGATATTAAATGCCTTTCTGTTTGTATCCCTGCATTTATTTGCTTTATATTTCCTAACAACCCATAAATTCACTTCTTTCATCTTGCTTTGTTTTTAAAGTGGAACAGACACGGGGCATTTGCATGAGCAGTTTGTAGAATTTTTGGATTTGGTGATTTCTCAAAGACTGGAGGTCATCCCAAAGTGTGTAAGGCTCCTCCCTAAAGTACATGTTTATGTCTGGGGTATACAGGGTAATAACCCCTTTCCTTCAGTGCTGCCACTCCTGATTGCTCCACACAGCAGGTAAAAGCTTGAACGTCATCTGGTCTCTATATGGCTTTTGTAGGTAACATTAACTGAGTTTCTCTACAGTGAGGTCATGTCACCGTACAGCTCACATCCTCATTGGAAATGTAATAATCAGATGCAACGTTCACCGTTTCCTTCTTTAAGACCAGAGTATTTTTAGCCCATGGAGTGATTATATGTGATTAACAATGAAACTCCTGCAATAGGGATGTGAAAAAACAAGGCAGCCGGAAAGTGTTCATTCCGATTGCCAGTAGATGGGGCTATCCCTTAATTTGCCGCCTTGTTTTATTTCATTATTTATATATGAATCTGTCTCTCCCTCCCTTCCTATCCCCCCTCTCTCCCTCTTTTTTCTTATCCCCCTCACAAGCATTTTTTTTCTTACGGATGTTGGGGAACACAGAGTGCTTCTTAGAAGAAGGCAGGGAGAAAAGAAGATTACTGGAGAAAAGGTTTCCTCTTTTTTTTCTTGAGAGGGGTGGATCATGTTGTCAATGAGACAAGTGTAAAATGGGAGACTTTGGAAAGCTGCTCTCTTGAGGAACCTGAACAGCGGCAGGAGGAGAAAAGCCTTCCCATGCAGATCTATGGATAACGGTACTCAGCATGCTGTAATTTGCCCTTCTTCTTCACAGGTAAGACCATGGGCTTAAGAGAGTCTTTCCTCACTGGTTTTGCACATCTGGAATCAGGCCATCTTATTGATTGCCCTGTCTTCTGCTGGCGCACCTTGTTGGCAATGCATTTTTTATGCCATCATCATAGGAGATGGTGCAAGGGGGGCATCGTGGTGGCTAAATGTATTAAAAGTTTTCTATAATTTTCATTGGGAAGTGGTTTCATATCTAGCAGATGATCTGCCGTTTGCTTCTAATGCTGACGCACATTTTCCTGTATGCATGGGGAGGCATCCATAAGCTGTTGTTGCTTGGACCTTCTGAATTAGCCACAAGTGTTAACATTTTTCCACTGGAGCTTCGATGGTTATTTTATGCACAATGAAAATGGGAGAAAAATGATGTAGCATCTCAAAAGAAAAAAGGGGGGGGGCTCGCTGAAGGAGAATGTTGCATGTATCTGCTGCTTTTTTCCTGTAGCATCTTCAGGTGGCAGAGCACTGCCTTTGCAATATCCAGGCATCCTCTGCACCGTATTTGCTGCGGCACTGCCTCCCAATGAAATCGCCCTTTCTATTATGGGAAACACTGTCAGGTGAATCAGCACTGTAGAAGGTTCCAAAGGCACAGCAAATGGTCCAAAATATGTTAAATGAGGTAGATTAGTCTTGTTTTAAAGACTTAACTCTGTATTTTGACAGGTCCTGATCTCCCTCGTCCTGCCTTCCCCCCCCCCATTGTATGTGTGATTCACATGATTGAGAGTGTGACAGACATTCTCAGCAGGTAGCAAACTGATGCAGTTCCCTGATTTGACTACTCCTCCATTTTCCTGCTTTTGCTAGAAAAAAAGATTGGGGGGGGGGAGGAGGAATTAAGGATGGGACAGCACAGATCCAGCTGGTTCCATATAGGAATGGTTTGGAGAGAGTGATCAGCACAGTGGGCCTTAAGAAAAACACCTGCTGTCTCCTTGTGTGGTAAGCAACACAATCAGTATTCTGGTGTCTGTGTCATGGGCTGTCAAAGCAACAGTAGCTTGCCAGTATGACTGCGTGAAAAGCCGGATCAGATTTGGCCTCCAAGATTCTTTGACACGTATGAAATTGAATGGAGATTTGGTAGCAGCTTTGCTCTGGAGGAGGTGGTTTCTTCTTCTCTCCCCCCCTCCCGCACCCAATGTTGATCTGTGCTAGGTTGTTTCCATAGCTGAGCACTGATTTGGTGGGCACGGTGTGCGGCACCACTGTCATGGCTAGAGGGAGAATGCGGCTGTCTTCATGATATGGAAAAGGATCCACCCTTGTTGGGCAGGAAGTAGGAAGGAGGTGCCCATGTTGTTCCTGGCTGATGTGCCGTAAATGGTTTTGGTAGATGAGAAATGTCGAATGTTAAGCTGAAGATGATGATCTCTTCCTTCACCCCTACTCTTCTGTGTTTTCCACCATACCTTCACTATTAAGTAAACGTTCAGGTTGAAGAGGTCCATTCATTGTAAACAGACTTGTTTGTTACATTTGAGAGCGTCTCTGAGTGGTAATTTTGAAAAATAGATGGTAGGCCTGTAAACATGCCTTTGTGTGCATCTACCTATCACTGAAGAGGAAAGGTTTGAGAAAAAGGGGAAAGGCACCTGAAGACAAACATTTCAATTGTGATCATCTTTTCAGCTGGACAGGTCCTGAATGAGTGATTAACTACCATATAGGTAACTGTGTTATTCTGTGGGGAGAACCCCCCTCCCCAGCAAGAACTAGATTCTTTGTCACGCATCAGGGGTTAACAGATTTGCAGTGGCATAAGCTTTGGTGGAACAGAGCCTCCTCCAATTCATGTGGAAAACGGCAGGATTTGGCATTGTTTTGGCCAGAGATTGTATCTACCCTGTTTCCCCGAAAAGAAGACCTAACCTAAAAAATAAGCCCTAATATGATTTTTCAGGATGCTCGTAATATAAGCCCTATCCCAAAAATAAGCCCCAGTTGAGTGAAACCCTGTCCTCAACCATTGTGCAGCAACCAGAAGAAGATGACAGGACTGTATTTGAATCAATGTAGATGGCTGTATATGAAAAAAATAAGACATCCCCTGAAAATAAGCCCTAATTCATTTTTTGGAGCAAAAATTAATATAAGAGCCTGTCTTATTTTCGGGGAAACAGTGTAGTTAGATGGCACTTTCCACGTTGGCCTTAAACCTACTTGGCCTGCTTACCTCAATGAGTATCCTGTGCTTGGGGATTGGGTAACACCGACCTTTATTTGGCCTAAGCTGCATCCTGGCAGCTTCATGCAACTGAATAGGGAGGCCTCAGGTTTGAAAAGCTGCCTCCAACAGTATCTACATCAAAAATTAAATGACAGCAAACATGTTAATAAAGTTTTAATAAACTTCACATCAAAGTTAAATAGTACCTTTCTTGTTTGCCACAACATCACCATACTTTACTGCCCCTCCTCATTATACTGTAAATCTCTATATAAGATTCAGTTGGTTCTTTCACTTCCTCTAGGTTGAGCTAATAACATGCAATGTGATGTAATGGGTCAAGTGATGAGCAGAACTCAGGGGACATGAGATTGAATCCCTTCTTGGTCATGAAAACTCCCTGAGGTGGATGGGTGAGAAACTGGTAAAACCATTTCTCAGGTATTTCACTTATCTTGAAAGCACTATTAGAGACACTGTAGATCAGTTCTGAATTGGTAGCACATAACGCACAGGATGAGATATACAAACCATGTCTTCCCAGGGTAGAGCTTGTGCCGTTTTATCACCAAAAGGGAAAGGGAAAAGAACGGTTTGGGAATTCTGTGTTATAATGGATCACGGAAACAGGAAGCACTTCTTCTTGTTCCCGCGCTACTGCAGCTGGTCTATAACATCTCACCCCATTCAGGATCCCACTAGATGTTTCTACTTCTGCTTATGAGCATGTGTGTCATACGATTCAGTCTATCCAATCTGTACCAAGCTTTTCACCTAAAGACTTTCTCCAGGCACTCCTCAACTGAGGTACAACAGGGGCCAATCAGGGAGAGACCTTGTTCCATCCTTTTGCATCCTATCTCTTGAAGGCTCACCTGGCATCTGTTTTGCTTTAATTTTGGACGGGCTGTTATATTTCCCCACAGTTTCAAAAATATTTTGAAAACAAGTTGAAAAACCAAAAATCCTATAAGGATTTTACAGCAGCACAATGCAAACAACTCAGTATGCAATACTTAACGTCTATGATGGTGATTTCTGAAATTCAGATAATTTGCCTCCAAAAGTCTGTGCGGGTCACAAACATGATTTGGGCCATAACGTTTACATTCTTTTAATCTATTTTGAGTTTTATGGATTAGAATTTGGTCCTACACTATACTGTTGGCAATAGTAATTACATGCTGTTAAGGTGATTCTGACTTATGGTGACCCTTTCCAAGGTTTCCTAGGCATACTCAAATGTAGTCCATGATTCCACCCTGGGACTTGGCAGCTTGCCCAAGGCTAAAGAGGCTGGCTCTTCTCCCGAGGGGCACTGTGGGGAATTCGACTTCTAGGCACCAGACACCTAACTCACTGAGTTGGCTTGCAATACTTGCATTTATGCTCCCAGAAGAGAAGGCTAGACATATTAGAAATACATGAATATTGCATATTAACATATCCTGAGGAGGAACAATAGCATTCTTCAATGTTTCCTCTGTCTTTCTCTCTTATTCTCACACACGTACAACCAGATGCTAACATGTATTTCCTTTGCCGGGTTCTGTTAAGATGGTGATGACTGATGATGATGGTTATATAGATCTTTTTCTTGTTATGTTGTTTATATGCATTCCTGGCATTAGTCATATGGAAGTAGATCCCATTGGTTTCAGTAGTAAATTTTTTTAGAAAGAAGTTTAGTCTTGCCTTTCAGGCAAAAAGAACCCAGTGCAACTCCAAGACAGTTTGGACTCACACAAATATCAAGCAAGAAACATTATGGAACAAGTCTAGTTCTTAGTCCCAATGCTTGTCAGCATGTGCAGTTCCCATTTTACAGTACATGAAACAATCCAGAGATGATACAGCGGCATGCCCAAAATTCATCACAAACAGCTGGCCTTTGAACCTTAAGTCTGAGCTCCATCTTTGGCTTGTTATCTGTTTGGCCAGACAAATCAAAACTGAAGTTTCCATACATCTGTTTGTTGATATCTTCCAGGGGTAGCAAGATCCAGTCATTTGCTTCGTCCTCCTGTAAGATTTGGTCCACACATGAATGCTCACCTGTTTCTACAACTTTCATTGGTGAATTGTATCTGTGGATGTACAACTCCAGTGGAATATTGTTCCATACAGCGAGCACTTGTCCAGATGGAGGTTAAAGTGTCATGTTCAGTGTTGATTACATGCTTTCCCCCCCCTTTCCAGTCACATGACACAAGGCTCCATTCAATAAGATACATGCTATGCTTTGTCCCCTTTCTTCCATGCTTTAAAAAAATCTTCCTGGGGAGTGCCACTATTTTGTTCCTGGATTTGTTCCTGGGGGGCAGAGCTTAGTGCTATAGCACTCCATGGAGAGAGTTCATTTCTGTGTCAGATCATAAGCATTTAACTGGCTGTGAAATGAACTTCCCAGAATGACTAAAACAGAGAGAAAATGTTCCAAAGGTCAAGCTGCAACAAAGAAGTAGATTTATAAGGATTTCTTTCCTAAAAATTCTGAAAAAAAATGACTCTCAAAAATGTGGCTTCTGCAGTGCAGCGTAGATGGGAAGACCAGTAAGCCCTTCCCTCCTTCAGGATGAACCAACCAACCAACCACACATATTTGCTGCAGAACCTTTGTCCATCCGGTCACACCCTCTGTCAACATAGTCAGTTATATAGTAACGAATCTTAGACAAATCAAATATTGTATGTGGATCCATCTTGAGGGCCATCCATGGAGGGTCATTTAATGCACATATAATGTGGACCAATTGCAGGTGCACGTATTTCAATGTATACTGTTACCTTTGACACCTGTCTATACAACG